GTTTCCCATTGGTTAAGCCGGCTCCTACCGTCGGCCCGGAGCGTCGCTGATTCGCCGTGAGCATGCGCAGGCGCGCTTTCTCTCGCTTCTTTTTCTCTCGCTTCAATTTCAGATGCCGGAGTAAGAAGGATGACATCATCCGAGTCTTCGGAGCGAAAAGAGCCCGGCGGAACCTTGGAAGGAAAGTGCGCATGCGCGACACTGGACTATTTACTAACTGGGAATAGTGGTTTTTGGCTCTGGGTGAAATTCATTTTGCTACGAATTTGCTGCTTTGAATTCTTCTGCAAGCTTCGGTAGTGATGGCGTCTAAAGAGTTTTTTTTCTTTCTCAAGTACAGATATATATTTCGACTTGCACCCATTCGTTTAATGGGGTTAAAGTTACAAAGGCACTGAAAATATATATATATATATATATTTGACAGTTTTTCATACTTACAACCATTGCAGCATCCTCAAGAAGATCATGCCATCAAAATTCAGAGGCTCAGCAACTGGCATGTATTGACGTTGGTCTAAATACCTTATTTTTTAAAAAAATTTCACAAGCACAGAGATACACCTCGACTTGCACGCCTTTATTTAATAGGGGTGAAAACCACTGTGCAGTGGTTCACTTAACGGCGGTGGCAAGGAAGGTCGTAAAATGGGGCAAAACTCACTTCACAACTGTCTCGCTCAGTAACGGAAATGTTGGCCTCAGATGTAGTTGTAATTTGAGGACTCCCTGTATCAAGGTCTTATTAGTGCTTCAGTGCGCAGCTTGGTGTTATTCATCTATTCTAAATGCTTTTTTAAAAAAAATAGCATTTGGGCTGTATAAAGTGTTCTCATCAATTTTTTGCAGTATCGCCTTTCAAAAGCCTAGTTTTTCCTTTGTTTCAGCCTTTCTGATGGTCTACAGATTTCACAGCCATGTTACAAGTGGGAAAATAACGATAGGCCCATATTCACCTTTCTACTCAGTGTGATGTCTCTTTCTTATTTTTGTCTAGATCTGTCATTTGTCACCCAACTAGATATATTTTTATTTCGTGACTAAGAGTCACCGTTATGTTTGCTATGGTGAAGAGATAAAATTTGAAACCTTTTCAACTTCTTTCCTGACCGTTTGTACATCCGTTATCTGTGGATGTATTGAAATGGTAATGCAGGATATTGATTTTTTTTTCCCCATTCCTTTTTCTCCTTCAAAAAGCTAGATCTTGGAAGCTCTGAGGCAAAGGGGGAATAAAAGTTGAAAAATCAAGCTGGAAGGGACACTCTTTTGTAAGCAGCTTTTCCCAACCAGATGCTCCACAGATATGTATTAATCTCTGGCATATGGATCGAGATTAGGGTCATTGCAATCCAGCAGATCTTCATCATCGCCAACACTTGATACTCTCCAAATACGATGGATAACAGCTCCTCCTCCTCCTCCTCCTGTCCAGCCAACACAACTAGATTATTGGAGGAGAAAGAGACTTTTAGTTCAAAATAACTGGACAACTGTAAGGCCAAGTCAAACTCTTTTCTAAGCACTCCTTATCTCTCCCATTACAGACAGAAAACCTAATTTCTCACCCATTCTGCTTGCTGTTATTTCTGAATTACAGGCAGGCACTGAAAAAAGTGAGTTATGCAGGGGTTCAGGAGATCCCCTAGCTAAGATTCTGTGCAGTTTGGAGAACCCCCAAATCCCACTCCTGGATGGCCCCACCCACCCCACTCCGCCCCTCCCAGGAGTCTCCACGTGGCCTGTTTCGAATGCAGGTAAGTGCAGGGGGCGTGCGGAGGGTCGGAGAGGGTGAAAAATGGGCCTCCCAGAAGTTTGGGAAGGCCAGAAATGGGCCTGTTTCCAGCTTCCAGAGAGCCTCCAGAGCCCAGGGAGGCTGTTTTCGCCCCCTGGAGGCTTGAGGAAAGCCTCCGGAGTCTGGGAGGGCAAAAACACCCCCTCCCCCACTGTGGTGCAGGAGGTCGACTAGGCCACGCCCACCATGGCCACGCCCACCCAGCCACTGGGCAGAGAACGCCTTGCTAAAATTTTTGAAGCCTACCCCTGGCAGTATCCTTATCATCATGTGATCAAAATTCAGATCCTTGGCAAGAGGTTCATATTTATGACAGTTGGAGTGTCGTGCGATCCACTTTTGTGACCTTCTGCCAAGCAAAGTCAACGGGGAAGCCAGATTCACTGAACAACTATATTACTAATTTAAGAATTGCGGTGATTCACTTAACAACCGTGGCAAGAAAAGTCACAAAATGGGGCAAAACTCACTTAACAAATGTCTCACTTAGCAACAAAATTTTTGAGCTCAATTGTCATAAGTCAAGGACTATCTGTACTGAGATTTCATAATTAATAAGCATGATTACCAAGCTGGGCTTTCTTGCACAGATCCACAGAGAATGTCCTAAAGACCAATTTGCTTTAATTTAATTCTCTAATCCCAAATTCAAATTTGATTTAAACTATAAATCTTTCGTTACACTCAAAAAGTATGTTTTTGGACACTGAAGGTTGTCTTAACAGATCTTAACAGATAATCAGAGTTGGAAGGGACCTTATAGGTCATCTAGTCCAACCCCCCGCCCAAGCGGGAGACCCTACACCCTTTCTGACAGATGGGAGTCCAAACTCTTCTTGAAGGTCTCAAGTGATGAAGCTTCCACAACTTCCGAAGGCAATTTCTGTTCCATTGGTTGATTGTTCTCACTGTCAGATAGTTGTTCCTTATTTCCAGGTTGAATCTCTCCTTATTCAGTTTCCATCCATTATTCCTTGTCTGGCCTTCAGGTGATTTGGAAAATAGCTTGATCCCTTCCTCTCTGTGGCAGCTCCTCAAATATTGGAAGACTGCTATCATGTCTCCCCTAGTCCCTCTCTTCACTAGACTAGCCAAGCCCAGTTCCTGTAACCGTTCTTCATATGCTTTGGTCTCCAGTCCCCTAATCACCCTGGTTGCTCTCCTCTGTACTTTTTCTAGAGTCACAACATCTTTTTATAATGCGGTGACCAAAACTGGATGTAGTATTCTAGGTACTGCATCCAGCAAGAAGGAGTAAAGCAGGACTGCAGAAACAAACCTCATTAGATCCAATGAGGTTTACTTATGAGAAAATGTATACAGGATTGCAATGCATGAGTTCTTTCTACAAAATTACACTAAAACATCCTTTCCCCTCCCCCCAATTTGCAGAAAATATTCTATACACTGAATGTTTAAAATTGTATTACTCTGTTTTTCAAATGGCCACATATTCATTAAAAACTGGCTAGTACTTCATGAATGAAATTCTGTTCTATATTTTATAACCAGTATGTTAGGTTCAATTTGAGTTAATACTGAAATTATGCAATGCAATGGCTTTTAGACTCAAACTATAGCAAATGGCATATTTGCTTAGAAGGGCAAACTTTTCAGTACATTGGACAGCAATCTTGTTCAGCATTTCTCAAAATCTTTGCGAATGGCATACAGCACATAAAAGCCATTGTAACTTTTTGCCTAATACTGTTCTCTACATTTCGGTGGTAGTGTCAAACCTTTGCTATCCCAAATGAACTGAACTCATCACAGAAAACTGATTATGTTTGTCATGACTGAGCCTCAGACATTCAAACTGGAGTTTAAAATGGCCCCCGAGACAATACTTGAATTTATTTAATGATTGACTTCTGCAGATGGAGTTAGAATCCCTTGACATATTGGCCAATATTCTATGGAATAAGATGGTATGGAAAAATTCAGACTTACTTTTCCCTCTTAATCTTGATATGAATCAGTATTTTCTCTATGCAGTAGTAGAAAGAAGTGGTGGCCATTGTTAGGTATAACATTGATACCAAATATGGTTTGGGTGAATAAATATATAAAACTTAGATATCATGGTTTAAGTGCTTATCACTTTAAGCACAATGCAGCAGGCAATTAGCCAATTAAGGGTGCGGTTAGAAGTTACAATATAAGGAAGCATTAGAAGCTGGAAAGCTTACTGCTGGCTGTAACTGTGTGCTGCTGCGACTAACTGTGTCTTGCTATGACTAACTGTGATTACTGACTGTGAGTGCCTGTGACTGAACTGTTATTTGTTTGCTACTGTTTGCTGAATATCCAGCGTTTGTTTCTCTGGAGAGTGAAACCGGAGGAGGAGAAGATATCTTTATCGGCTGATAAAGATATTGCAAGGACTCTTAACTTGGACTATACTAGTGAGTCTTACTGGATGGAAATACTGTGAATGACTTAATGGACTGAATGACAATGCTTAAACTCTAACTGGATTAAAAACTATTTAAACTACAAACAGTGTTTGTGTTCAGTGTGTGTATACTCTGGGGCCCTTCCGCTCTCCTTTGGCTTCCTGGCTTGACTACTGCTGCAATACTCTTCTAGGGGTTAATCCCCAAACCCTAACAGCCATGTTTCACAGATCATCCACAGAGGATATTTGTTCAGTCTTAAATGTAGAAAAATACCGACTGCTTGTAGAGAATCTTATATTTTTGATGCACGGCAATTTGACTGAGGATCATTCAGTCATTTTAATAGTGATTTCTTGGAAGGAATATTTGCCAACCTCATTCATTGGAATAACAGGCAATCTAGCCCCATATGTTTACATATCTCTATGGTGACAGGCCTCCAGTGACATCATGTGATGTCATGAGAACATGTTACAAATGATGTACCATGCATGATGGATATTTCATATTCTCGCAAACACTTTTGGCTATGCTGCCTGTAGGGCTTATTTTGACCACTTCTCTGATCTCATTTCAACACATTTCAATATGTTCAAACAGAATTGAGAGCAGCTACCTGTCAGGGCTCTTGATTCTGCTTCCTGTCATTCAGAAACCAATACATGACACAATAAAAGCTAATGGGTGGTGCAAATATGTGTGTGTGTGTGTGTAAAAGAATTGCAACGTCCCATAATTTAACAAGCAGATTTCCTCCAAATTTCAAAAAGTTTATTTGTTTATAAATTGGGCAAGGGCCGGGGGAAGGGAAGAGCGGGAGGAGAATGCAAAGCAGACAATACGAAGAAAGCAACACCCATGTTTATATATAGCTTTTAAAAATGTATTTCTCTTGACAGTCGAGACTCGCCTTTCATGTTCATCCCAAGCTGAACAATGAAAACCTCTCATTAAAACAGAGTGCTCACAATGTCTTGGCTTAAGAAGAGAGACCTATGCAGAAGAGAAAATGGATGGCACTGTTAGCCTCACCCAAAAGCAGTGTAGCTCATCCTGGACTGGCTGGGGAATTCTGGGAATCGAAGTCCACTCATCTTAAAAGCCACCGTGGTTGAAAAACACGGCCTTCATCCGTGACTCTTGTGAGTACGAGTGGATGGCCAAAGAAGCAAATTTACATTGGGGACCAGGTAATGAATAGTCCTTGATCTTTTGCCAGCAGCCAACAGACAGACTTGGGAGAGGAGAGGTCTGATGAATCGGCTATCATCTCTGCAAGATCCTTTATTATCTGCTGAGAAAGGGGTAGAGGCATGCATTGCTTGGCGCAGTAGGTGAACCAGGAAAGTGAGTGAGGAAATACTGCATTGGGAATTTCGTTTTGTTTCCCCTCCCTCCGCAGGCTTTCGGCCTCCGAACGACTTCTTTTTTTTTTTGGCACACAGGCAATTCAGGCAGAGCAATTCAGCTGTCCCCCTCTTTCCACACACACACACAGAGACACAGAGGCACATGGACACTTACACACTCGATACAAAGAGACACTTTTGTTTTACAGATCCGATGCAGGATGACGACACACTGGTGTGCGGGAGGTGGAGGGCTATATAGCGGAGGGCAGCTCTTGAGGTTCAGAGTGCTATAAGCCAGGTTGGAATTTAACTGGCCCCTGGAAGGATTTCCCCATGCTCCAAAACGGAACCCTTTGCCGAAATCGATCAACCAATCAAGGACAAAAAAAGAAACAGGTTAGCTCTGTCGTAGATCTTCCGCACAGAGAGCTGTAAAGAGGGTCCATAGGTCCCGCGTAGAGGGTCACCCACTAGGAGATCTTGATTTTGCCCTTCTCTGGGGCTGCGTCTGCCAGTGACGGCTGCTCGTCCCCGTTCACTGACAGGGTCCTCTTCTCCGGAGGCTGGTCCTCAGGTTGGCGTGCAATCAGCAGGCGGCAGGTGAGCAGGATCCCAAAGACCAAGGCGTGGGCGTAGCGCTTGAGTGGGTCCCCCACCAGTTGGTGAAAGAAGAGCACGGCCAACACCAGCAGCAGCAGCACAAAGTTGGCCACGTCCTTGGGGCGGCCCGGAACCAGGGTCATGACAATCCCGCAGGCCACCTCCAGGGCTCCGATGCTCTTGCGAAGAACGATGGAGCTGACCCCCAACCTCTTCAGCATGGGCAGCGCCCTCACGTAGGTCTTGTAGGCCCGCTTCTGTAAGCAAAAAGAACACGAGCACAGCATTCGTGACCGGTTTGGACCCGAGCTATAGTTTATGGTGTCAGCCTTGGGAAGCGGACGGGGGCAGAGTTTGGATCGGCTCTGGATCCAGTCCAACAGGAAACACCAATCATATCACGCGGGAAAAGGAGAAAACAGACAGTAATGAAGAAAGTGATTGTTCTGACCCATGCCCTTCTCAAAAAGAACAGAAACCTTGTAATGCTTTTACAAAATAACTAGCTGTGATAAGCACAAGCCTTGCCAAACTGTGCGAGACTTGCCAAAAGATAACAGACAAGAAATAATTTGCAAAATAAAAATCTTCAAATGCAAACTCAGGATACTGGAATGTCCATGAGGCTGGAGTTTCAAAACGTCTTTGCCTTCTGCAAAGAATGGCTTTTCTTGAAGGAGGGGCCATTACCTTGCAGCCTTACTCCCGAGTTGCCCATGCAGTAGCAACGGCTTTTTCCTGCAAGCAACCCTAAACGCATGTGCACTTGGCACAGGCTCCTCGGGAACCTCCTCATCGCTGCTACCAGCCCTCACAATCTCTGAAGGCAGCAGTCCACTCCCTAATGGTCCTGGCCCCTCATCTGAGTCCTCGTTCTCCTCAGCCGTCCGCACCTGCTGCCGGCTAACCACAGCAGTGATCTTTTTCCATTGGTATTTTGTAGGATAAGGTTGGAGAAGAGGACCATAGCTCAGTGGTAGAATACCTAGTCTAGATGAAGAAGGTCTTAGATTCTAGCTTCTCTGGATGAAGAATGTCCTACTGAACTCTTGCATTGTATATTCAGTAAACAGCCTTTGGATGGATGAAGGGATGGACAGATGGACAGATGGACTTGTGCATTGGTATAAATAGACAATCTTGGAATGACTGAATGGAGGGATAGAATGATGGATGGATTGATGTATGGTTGGATGAATGTTTGCATTGGTAGTATACAATCTTGGAATGGATGGATAGATGGATGGATAGAATGATGGATGGATTGATGGATGGTTGGATGGTTAACCCTAACCCTAGCATTGGTATAGTCAGTAGATAATCTTGGAATGGATGGATGAATGGATGGATGAGCTAACAATAAAATAATCTTTGTCAAATATATGAGCTACTGAACATCACTTTGACTATTTATGTGGAGCATGCAGATCAGGTTGTCCAACCCACAGACCATGGCTGCATGTGGCCCAGGACTGCTAGTAATTGGCTCCACAAGATAACAAATATACAAAAAAAATAAAGTACATGTAAGTTTGTTAACGATATTTTATATGCAGCCCAAATGATTTCTCTTCACTCAATGCAGCCCAGGCAAACCAAAAGGCTGGACAGCTGTGCTACTATCAATTCATTTATGTGAAAGAAAGATCCCTTTTGAATCTAGCTGAGCTTCTGACTTCATTGGCAGGCAGCTGTCCTGAGAACTGCATGGAAATGATTCATCTCTGCCTTCACGCATGATTTTTTTTCTTTCCTGACTTCCCGCTCCAGCTTTCCACATCAGCTTTCCCTGGAAGCTTCCCATCCAGCATGGCTCCCCAAGATCAGACAAAGCCAGAGGGTGCTACCAGATGAAGCAACTGCAGCAAGAAAGGTCCCATATTCTGAGAGGCCACCAGCGTCCAATATAAAAGAAATATATAAGGCTGTGAACAAACCCTTGTTATTACAGTCCCCGAATAAGCAGTGTACAGTTTAAAGAATGGAAATGGTATAAAAACAAAACATAAATCATCAGCTCCTGGGAAAACAAATTGGATTGGGTGGGCAAATCAACAGAATGTATTTATATATATGTGTGTGTGTGTGTGTGTGTGTGTGTGTGTGTGTGTGTGTGGATAAAGTAGCTGCAGAGAGGAAATCTTGTAACCATTGAAAAAAAAATATGATGCACAGCTATAAATATGGAAAAGCAATTCAGGCTTCCTAAAGCTGTAAAACTCTTTTTCAGATAAGGAAGTGGAAAATAAACAGAGCCATTAAGTTTCATCTGAAAACCTGCAGTGTTATACATCATCCTTTCATCGCAATGCACTGAAAAACACTGTGTCATTGGGCTGTTGTTCGTACAACATGTTAAGCTATGATATGCTTAACTATGGTTTAATGAGTACTGTAGCACACAACTGACTGGTTCATGCAATAAATCAAAGCATAATCTGTGCCTTTCAAATCACTGGCAGATAATACACTAAATCACAGATAAACACTAGTATCTCAGTTGAAATGAGATATGTATCTTTCCTTCCCAAAAGGCATTCATTCATTCATTATGAGAAATCAGTTTATTTCGTTGTTCCGTTGGTCCTCAAGGACTAGATTTATCATTTGTGAGCTTAGCCACAACTGAATCCTTACATCACACTATGCCATCAAATACGTTTTGCAAATCATGGAGAAATTATGTCATATAACTCAAAACCAAACCATACTACATCCTATGAACCAGATGAGTACAACAATTAGTGAAAGGAATATTTGTTACAACACCAGGGCAAATATAACTAATTAAAAAGGAAAAGCAGTTCAGTTGACCAGTGGTATCAAGCTCTTGGAAATACAAATAAAGATATCATTTTATCAGGATAAGAAAAAAAAAGAGGAGGACCTGAAGCTGACAACCCTTGGCACAGAGAGAGTCATTCATGTAATATTTAGGACTGTAGTGAGAGGAGGGGAGAGAAGAAAGAAGGGAAGGGGAGGGGAGAGGAGAGGAGAGGAGGGAAGGGAAGAGAGGAGAGGAGAGGAGAAGAGGGAAAGGAAGGAAAGAGGAGAGGAGAAGGGAAGGGAAAAGAAGGAGAGGAGAGAAGAGAAGAGAAGAGAAGAGAAGAAGAGAAGAGAAGAGATCACTATACTAGAAAGTTCCACTATTGTTTATTCCCAGAAATTACAAGTCTGACCATTTTGGTAATGTTCTATGAGTGAGCATTACTGCATTATGAGTGACCTCCTGGAGGAGACAAGAAAAAGAAAGAAAGAAAGAAAGAAAGAAAGAAAGAAAGAAAGAAAGAAAGAAAGAAAGAAAGAAAGAAAGAAAGAAAGAAAGAAAGAAACCCCTTCACGATTTGACTGTCTGCATCGTCACACAACTGGATCTCACCACCGGATTCCTTCGTTTAAAAAAAAATTATATAGAAAAGAGCTGGAAATAGACTTGCTTTCTGAGGGAAAAGTAAAGCCCCCCCCTCCTTTCAGCTCCCTAGTCCAGGCTGATGGAAGACCCCGCCGTGTCATTTTTCTAGAAGCTTCTCTGAGGGAAGAACATCACTGTTGCATTGGGCTGCAGGCAACCCGAGCCATGTGGGTGCCTGTAACAAGTTATCCGGAATACGGAAGCCAAATAATGGGACTCTTTGTGAGTCAGTCACAACAACGCTGGAGGTGGAGGTGAGTTGTCTTCTAGATTTATGTGGGCCACCTTCTCCTCGCCCTAATAAGCAACTACTTAGGGGTGGAAGAAGTTCCCCTTCCGTATCTGTCGAAGACGAACCGCCGGGAGCCCTGAGCTGTCTCCCCGCCTTCCAACACCAAAAACCTTTTAAAATCATCTCGCCCTGCCTTCTATCTTCTGGAAATAATAAAGAGATCCTTTCTGCTCTGGAGTGTCTTCCTAGGCTTCTGCTTCCTTCCTTCCCTTCTTTTATCACGACCAGTTTGGTCCCCTTCTTCATCGGATGCCTTGGGAAGAAGGGAACGCCAAAGAAACCTTGCAAACACAAGATGGGAAGGAAGCAATGGAAGCCACGAGAAGGTTGGGTGGGCCTTCGGTCCCCCTTTTTTTTGCACCTCTCCAAGCGTCACTGTCCTCCATCTCCAAGCTCCTACCATAACACAGGTGCAGCCAGCTGGCAAGATGTCTCCCCTCCCCACCCAACCCAACTCTTTATTTTGCTCACCATCTCGTTGTAGGCATCCTTGCTGAGCCTGGGGGTCAGTTTGATGGTCCCCATGAAGACGAAGAAGAGCCCCAGGGCCACCGAGAGGGCCACGATGGTGATGGTCCGCGGGGAGGCCATTCAGACCAGGATGCTTCCGTTTGCTCCGATCCCTTGGCTATGTCAAGGGATGGTCAGTCACCATGGAGGGAGATGGATGGGGAGGGGGAGGGGGAGCGGAAGGCTGCAGAAATCCGGGAGGATGACACAAAGCAAGAGAGGGGATGCCTCTTTGGCTCAGCCGCCTCTGGGTCCTAACGTCCCACTTTTTCCACTGCGTTGGCAAGGTGACACCTGCCAAACAAGAGGCAGGAAAGGCGGTGGAAGAGACGGTGGGAGCTGGTCATGGCATTCACCCGCTGACATTTCGGGCAAAAGGCTTGCCCATGACAGCTCTCTGGGCCATGCAAGGAAGCTGCAGAACAGTTGGATGCCCATTGATGTAAATGCTAAGAACGTGTCAGAGCAGCTGCCCTCTGGACAATTGTCACATGATTAAGGAGGCTGGGAAAAATAGCTCTAAAACAATTCCAAACTACTTCTACTGCTACTATTACTACCACTTTGGTCAGATATTTTGGAAAAGGCCATGATTCCTTTTTATAATCTTAGTCCAGAATCAACCACCAACTTATTGTATGTATTTATTTTGCTCTAGTTTTGTTGCTTCTGATTTTTAAAAACTTGCTGGTTATTGAATGAATAAATATTGATTGACTGACCTTTGTCCAGAAAGAATTGTAAAAAGGATTTAATATGATCTTTTCCTTCTCTCTAATTTAACCATCAAGCCAATCCTCAAATCCACCAAGTGGAAAGAAAAAGATCTTTGTACATCAAACGCCTTCTTCTTCTTCTTCTTCTTCTTCTTCTTCTTCTTCTTCTTCTTCT